TTACACGCGCCATGGCATAATATTTATGTTAATCGTGTAATACACAATATTATATTTTTCGAACCAATCAGACTCCGGCCATGCTCTTGTCATAAAGCATTTTTATAATGCACTTTCGGAATAGTGCAAGTACTCTTCTGTTTGATCATGCAGCTGCTGTCAGCTGGCTGGCTGTGCAGTGGATCTGCAGGCGATTTGGTCGATCCTGTACAACTCGATATTGACGTTATTATCTTCGTTTGGATATATTTTACTATAATGTATATATATATCTACCAACCCAACACCATTATTCGCCTCAATATTACCGACAACGAGGGAAAAATAAATAAAAATATCATGTATTGTGAAATATCGTTGAAAATTCAAGCCCACGTGCATGTTTCCATTCTAACGCGCAAGTACCACCTTCACGTACCTCCCTGCATAGGGTAATATACATATTATTATTATGAACATCCGATCAGATACCTATAAATAATATCATATAATAATACATTTTCGTTTATAAATATTATATACATATATATATACATGTGTGTGTGTGTGTGTGTATTGCGTAAAGTGTACACTGTGATGTTTTCTACGGAAATCAGTCAATATATCCCCTATACCTATATTAAACAACAAAAATTTAAAACTGTATTATTCTCACTATAAATAACCCATGTATGATATATTGTGTGCCTACAAGACGTAATAGTATTTTTTGAGTGTCCGTTTAGAAATGAAAAGCTAATAAGTTATGTTTATACAAATATTCGCTGTGAAGGGCGAGGTGAACGATTTTGCCATGTTCAAGTTGACGAGGTGAATAATATTTTACAATACTCAAGTATATGTATAACATTATGTACGCAACTGTCCTAATAAAACAGACAAACATAATTTAGGCAAACCATTCTAGATTTTGTTTACACTCGAATGGGTGTACTTGTATTAGTTGAATTAATAATTTTCTAAATATACTTCATCGGAAATATCGAGTAGACAATCGCAGCTGTTGTTCATTCCATTTTTATTACACATTCGCGGTTTCGTTTCACGTATACTATTTACGTCACGATAACTGCACCAAAGTGTTTCAATTATAATCGATTGATGTTGAAAAACTTGCATTAGTTTCCATCGTATAATACCGTACATATTAATAAACGGAACACACTTATGTCTGATGTTATAAAAACGAAATAAATGAAATTATATATTTTTGATAGCACCATTTTGGTCGTAAATCATCAATGATTAAATAACTACCAAAAGGATGTCGTAAACATATAGTTGTTGAAAAACAATTACAAATCGTATATAAGTTTGTATTGATTTACGCGACAACGCGGGTGTTAACGCGAGGGAATCAAATAGAAAACATAAAATAAATTTAGTTAAATTGCAGGCATTGGAAAAGTTTACCAAACTTTATTCTGATAGTATTGTTATAGATGTAATTATTATATATGATTATAACATTAGACTCATGTATACAGACATAGAAAAGTGCGACGCATAACTGCGTGGGTATGTTTTTTTTCTTGAAATTTTACAAGCAGAACGCTGCTTACGCTACTTCGCATTTCCATATAGTGCAATCTCATAAACTTTGATGTGGCTGTTATAGAACGAGGTCACGTTTTCCAAACTCATCAATGTTTACCTATAACATTTTTGTTAAGAATATATCATCATCGTTTCTAATCGTCCTACTTGTTATATTTTTGATTAAAAACTTAAATCTACAACATTTTTTAAAAATTACACTCGTATTCCAACTTGTATTTTAAATCATTATAATTTCATTAAGTACTATTATTGTATTATGAAAAAAAACGTACATATTATTATTTATGATTTCTTATACCTTTGTTGTGCATTGTGCACGATAATATTTTACTAAAACGGACCGATGATGCATTATTAAGTTAATTTTACACATAGATGCTGTAGGTAGGTAAAAAAAAACGTAATTTAAATCAGAGGTAGGTAGCGCTTTTTCGCAGTGAGCCTGTGACCGTTGCAGTAACAACTCTAGCAATAATATTAACACCCGTTTTTATTGCTAGAAGTGACACAAGTCCAATACACGAAATTGAGGATACAGTTGAGTTTCGTATTATTTTAGAGCGTCATTTTAAATAAAAAACGACTAGTCGTATTTAAATTTATAAGCAACCACAAAATCCATTATTAAAATGTTTTAAATATATGCTGCATAAAAAATTATGAAAACTACGAGATCCCAATGCATTTTAGAATATGTCAACATTTGTGAACGTAAATTATTCAATTAAAATTATGTTAATTTCGTTACGGGGAAATGTGCGCGAAAAGTTGGGACACTATATAATTGTATTATAATATTGTTTTTTATATTTTTCTCACCCATTTTTAGTGTATTTATAGCAAATCAGCTGTACTAGGAAATTGTAAGTTGAATGATATTTTCTACTTGCTTTCTGCGGAAAAAGCTCGTATCGCTTTGGTGTATGCCATATATCAAAATTGTCCAATAATTAAAAGAAATACCAAGTCATTCGAGTTTAATTTTTTGGAATAAAATACTGTAGTACCACACTATTTAGAAATCGTACAAAATAATTTTGTTATTTTAATTATACAAACTTGACATACATAGATTAAATTTACGACCCTTTTAATGTGCAGAATAATACTAGTAAGCAATAATATATACTTTTTGTATTTAATCTAGCTGAAGTTATAAAGGTTTATGGTGTCCAATACTGTCCATTACTGTGATCACAGTATTCTTTAAAATTTCCAATATCATTTAACGTCACGTAAAATGAATTGCGCTGATCTCGTACAATAATTAAAATCCTTTGACCTAAAAATCATACATAGGTACCTATAATAATGATAATTGTGCAACGGCCAGTTAAAATTGTATACAAACAGACATTTAATTGTTACACTAGAACATATTGCGTAATTTGACTATCAAATCGATTGATTGATGCAATCAGATGCTCGCAGTTTAAAAAAACAAAACAAGATACAGTAACGCAGAAAAGCCCTAATATTGCACAAAATTGCAGATTGGTAATAAGAAACTATTTTTTTTTAAATTAGTCTACCATTCACTATATATACTGCCAAAACGATTCTAACAGGCCGGTCAAACAGTGTGAAAAATTCGATTTACCGTTTAATCTACCATCCCAAATGTCATAATGTCGATCAAATAAGTAATTTATCTGAGATCGCTATAGTGTGCTCTGATTCGCTTCTCTTATATTATAAACCCAATTGACAGTTACGTTATTCACGTTGTTTGCAACTCCCAAGTCTGAAATGTCGTCTTTTGACGATGCCGGTCCGGTGGATTAACTTGAGTAGTATAAACTATACTAGTATCGAAGATATAGGACGAGTTAAGATTTAATCAATCTACATTCCACTAGAAATTAAAATATAACTCTATAAGGGTTAACGGTCACTTAACGGACGGGAAAAAGTGTACATTGCAGACGCTGTATTATTATACTGATATGATAATTAATTAATATAATACAATACAAATATATTATCCCAAAACGAATCGTCAAGAAATAGACAACGATCGGCTGCGCCGACTAAAGTTTTTTAGTCTCGTTTGCTTTGATTTGTGCAGTATATTTAACCATAATATTGTGGTTGTTTGAAAATAGAACGTCATGCCCCACGACTACTGCATCGCTCGAGCCTACCCAAAATGTGTTCGCTTTTGCATTTCCTGCACATTTTACCGTAAAGACATGTAGCAGCAACAATATTTCTTCCGTCTTCAGTGTGGTATAAACGGCATGTACTTCAAAGCTCTTCCCCACGTCTTAGTATGGATGAACGATGAAATACTAAGCATTTCCGTGTTCGCCCGAGTTATAATCATCAAACAACCAGGATATAAACTGATGTTCATTTAATCGTAGTTCGGGTAGTCGGTCGCAACTCGTCGCTTTCTGTGAATTTGGTTTTATATTTTGTTACCATATTTCTCCTAATGCTATTTCAGCATACAATACGAGCAGCTTTTATATTATTGTATAGATAATAATAATATAATGTTTTTAAGTGAAAACTTTATTATAAGCCCCGTATTCATTCTGCGTAGGTACTTAATGCGTAAACGTGTACCTACGTCAAAAAATCAATAAAAAAAGCAACGAATTAAATTTGTTTTTTTTTTATTATTCTCAAAGTATGTTTAACTTCATTGAACGGCGCACGCGGTTATGGGCGTTATTTTGAATTGTTTTATTTCATTTTTTTTTTAAATATTAATTTACCTACAAATAGTTTGCCGTTATTTTGACCGCGTGTTACGATTTTATGAGTTAATTAGTATTCAATAATGAATATTATTTGATGAAACGTGGCTTATTATTAAATATTTTTAAAGCTTTCAAGATTTTTACATTCAAACATGAATTCATTCGGGTTAATATTTTTTCGGGCTTGACCAATTTGACCTATTATTATAACTCGCAAACGATCGTATTTCAACTACTCTTCTCGGAACATTCGATATGCCTATACGTGTATAGTTCCTGATAGTTTTTACTACAGATAGTGTTGTATGCAGTACTTACCTAAAAGGTACTGGTAAATCAATACGTTCCATCTGGATAAAGTTCTAGACTAAAACAATATAGAGAGGTCCTTATTTCCGTGATATTACCTCATAATAACCACCGATGATGTACATTGTTAGTTACACTGCCTGTCGGTCGGCCGGCTACGTTTTAGGGCGTTATCATATTATTCGATGTATTCTTGCGTACGAAATGTTCGTGCATTATTTGAAATGACGATTTTCTAATTTGTGCGCTTATTACATCGGCCACATTTTTTCGGTGCAAATTAGTAGTTGTTTAAGTATACATTTTATTTTTAGTTATGATCGACTTACCGCTGACAACTCACGTGAACACAGCGAGATTATAATGTTTACAGGTCGAAACTATATGCCGAAAACTGAACCGAAAGCCTTTTCGTTGTTTCAGATACTCTACGCCGTCATTGTCATCGTCATCGGCGTAGGGCGACCACTGAACGGCGGCGCGGTGGCCGCTATGAAGTTAGACGGCAACATGAACGTGATGTCGAGGAGCAACACGTGGCCAGTGGTGGTGGTCCGGCTGGAACACGACGGCGGCGTGCACGTGATTGACAACGGACCGTCCGACGACGGGCCGTGCACCGCGGCCACGGACGACATGACCGTCCTGTTCGGCGGTGTCGGCGGTGCCGGGGGCGGAGTGGACGCCAACGGCGGCGGCGCGGCGGCAGCCGACACGTGTCCACTGGCGCCGCTGTCCGCCCGCAAGCGGGCCACGCTGCAGCGGCACTACTATCCGGAGGGCGGCTGGGGCTGGGTGGTCGTGGCCACCGCGGTGGCCGTTCACGTGCTCAATCACGGGCTCCAACTATCGGCGGCTGTCATGCTGAGACCCGCGGCCGACAAGCACGAGCAACCGGTGGTCAATACAGGTCAGTGAGCGAATGCTTTTATAGCAATATTATGTTATCATAACCATGTGACGGTAGCGTACTCGTGTGGAGTGGGCACCGTTGATGGTGGTGCAACCTCCGGCCCCCTGCCACCAGACTTCCAAATTTGTGGGAAAATCGAATTTGAAGCAGGCGCAAAACTGCAGTGGCGTCGTTTCATTATTATTATCATTCTTTTTATTACTCGACCTTTGCGGAGTATACGATTATGATAAGATTCCCTGAATCGACAATTCAACACAAATTTGTATAATATTTATGTCGTTGATCTTCACGAAGATTACATACTAACGATATTAACGCTTTGATAAGTGATGAAATTTGTACGTGGGTGTTATTAACAAAGGCCAAAATGACAAAATGCTATGGCTGAATTTACAGTGTTCAAACAGTATGAGGTGCCATTTTTTTATTTACTATTTCACACGAACTTTTTGCATACGATTTCGCTCACTTGCGCCATCATTGATGACAACGAAGTACAACTTACCTTCAATTTGGTACATTGACGTCTGCCTTAGCGCTTGGATAGTGTGTATAGTGCTGCAAAGCATACATGCAAGCAATAGACTTTCATGAACGACAGAAGAGACAGCCGCCCTTTTTTATCTGTCTTGTTAAAATAATAATAAATTAAACATTATTTTCCTCCACCCTGGAAACTCGATTATTACTCACCACTTCTTAAGCTTGTTGTAGCCCGTCACTCTGAACTTCGCTTTTGTGGGCTTGTTTTCGAGTTGGCTTCCCATCACACTAAAAGGTCATGCATTTTTACCATCTGTCTAGTCCAATACCTATGTATGTTTTTACGTCATATACTCATATCAGAAGTATTGGAAAATTGTTTAAGACTTTTTACAAATTATAATTATTCTTAATTATGTAAACACCGAAACCGTATAATCATTTAAATAATTGTTACGACAATATGCAGACGATTTCTGTTTTTACAAATAATATTGACGTAATGTGTTTTCAACGTTATCAATGTTTTCAAAAAATCATAGTATACTATCGCTATTATAATACCAATAATAATGTCTTGTAGATAAGCAGAAAATGACTTATCAATATATTACAATACTATTCCTGAAATAAATGTTGTTAAAAATAGTAAACTTTTATTCAAATATTGTGTAGCCCGCCACACGGCCTAAGTTTCAGCCGTTTATTATTGACATATTAAATGTTCTGGATAATATTTAAATTATTATATTATTATAGGTAGGTTTTATTGGAAAGTTTGTTACTAGAAAGTTTTAAAGTATTAATTGTAAAAAAAATGAAATAAAAACAAGTTGGTATATCATTTTGAAAGATGGATTTCTGAAAAAAAGGTCATTCATATTATACAAGAATGTTTTTTTTATGGTGCATTTAAATTCAGACCTTCTACATTACATAGGTACATTATTGAGCGATTACGTAGGTATGGTTTGTTTTGATTTATTACATTGTTCATAACATAGTAAATCCGCTGTTATGTTTCATGTCATGGAATGTTTTGTAAAAAAAATGTTTAGCTTAAAATTAAAACAAACTGGCCTAAAAGTTTTTGAATTACCCCTAAAAAATGATCGACTTTCCAGAGCCGTCGATAAAAGAGATTGATACCAGTGAAACCGACTACCGCGGTACAGGTAGGTACCTATATAATATTACATTATCATGACAATGCAATAATTTCGTAACGGTCGCGTCGTATACGAAACTCATAAATTTGCTAATCATGTTAGCTCATAATATTTTATTCAAGCGACAAAACCGTGAATAATTGTTGAGGATATTCGGCGTCTGCTATAGGTATTTTTGTAATTAAAAAATTAGATTTCCATTATTCCCGCTGCGTAGTAGTATTATTCAGTCCTGTTTGACGTTTCGCATTGGGATTCATACTAACACATTGCTCTCATATGAACATCCACGTAAACAAGGTGCCTTTCAATGTTTTGTTTACACATATTATACGAGTAACGGAGAACAGTATAGGTATACCAGTATGCTTAACAGTATTTTAAAAAAATGTAGTGTGATTAAAAATACTATAAATAGTATTTTTTCTTTTCGAAACAACGAATATCGAGGTTTGCTATTATTTGTACGCGAATGTGATGTATTTAAATCATATTAATTTATCTACAAATATTGGATTATCTTTGCACCACACTGCTTATACAACATAGGTACATATATGTTTTGTTTCAATTAAATTGAACATCATCACAATACACACTTAATTATTACTATTGTGGCGATGTGTTATATTTATGTAGGTATTTAATACTATTACATCTAAAAGGATCATTCTTTATGAGTAAAATGTCAGTCATTTAATTGACGATGTACTCAAGTTATATTTGATCAACATATAATACTGCTATAATAATTAGCCAATTCACCAAAAAACACTTTTTAAGAAAAGAGCATTCATGAATATAATTAATTTCCTTGCAATTTAAGTGTTTAACTTAGGTTTTAAGTATTGAAGTATTCAAAATTCATAATGGTATAGATTCAAAATAATTTTATTATAGATAAATTAGTTTTTAATTATATTAACTTAAAAAAATATATTGTACTCTTCGTTTTTGTGCAGTTGAGAAATATTTTATTTCAAGTATACAGTCTGCTATATTATACAAGTTGGCGGTTCTTCCATAATTCATTATTGAAATAATTACTTATGATACATGATTACAATTATTACTTATATTTATAAGTTTTTAGATATATGGTATTTTTTTGTATACAATGTACACGTATGACTGCATGAAATATTTATGTCTGTATCGAGGGTTAAAAGTTAAAGTCTTAATTCTCAAACTGGTCGAAATTGAACTTTAAACGAAATTATGAAATTTTCTATAATTTTCTAATGCGTTACTCAAGTGTAGTAATCGAAAATTAGATTTTTATCATACAATTATTGTTCTATTTTCTTTTATTTGAACGTTGTATATTAACGAAAAATGGTGCCAAATGTTGTAAACTATGAAGCCATCATCATATATTACTCTATGAGCTACATCGAATCGTTACTGTAATAATTCTCATTCTTATCAATGTCATCTAACGAAAAGTTTCAAAATACAATAGATTTTAACGAAATGAAAAATTTCAAATAACGTTTTATTCCAATAAACAAAATAGTTATTAATAATTAAACACACGTTAATAATTTTTTTTTTTTATTTGAATTAAGGCTTCAACTACTAATGTCATTATAGCGTAGTACTGTTGGGGGGGGGGGGGGTTGGAGAACTTTTGTATGTGTGACAAGTATGTATTGCTAAAACCTAGGTGATCACCCATCCGAGTGCTAGCGACGACGTTCGGTACCCATGCTCAGAGCGTTGCCTTAAATTGAGCGAACGGCCGTGCCTCACAAAGCCACAATAATATTTGTATGGTCTCATTTTAATGATTTATAGTGTCATTATATTAATTCAATATAATAGATGATAAGACATTTAGTAACCACCTTATAGTATGTGGTAACTTCAATTCATTAGAGACGTTAACAAGGAAAATGTCATGACCATGTTAACCTATGTACATGTCGTACCCACGAGGGTGCAATATTAATATATTATAATACAGTTAAGGAACCATGTTAAGGACGAAAACAGTGTGGTGTTTGGTGTGTTCAACATTAACCTATAGTCATTTTCGAGAAATATTTAAAACATTTGTAGTCAATTTATAACTCTTGTGAGTTTTATATTTATATAAACTTACAAGTTGAGTGGAATGAAGCTAATTCAAAGTAATAGTAAAATAATATTTAGCCACATAAAAAGAAATGTTTCCACTGCCTGATTTGAAAAATACGCCTATACTTTTTAAATTTTTAACTAACATCAGAAGAAAAATACCTTTGAATCAAATGTCCAGTTCATTTTTTATTGGGCCCATTAAAATTATATATAGTATAAATGCGTACTCTCAAAATATATAAAGAATTTAAAAAATTTAAATTAATAACAACAAAAATATTTGTGTAATATTTTATATTACTACCTATGAACAAATAATATAATTCAGTTTGCAAATATTATTTCTATAGTAGCAAAAAAATATAAAACAAAATAAAATATTGGTACCCCTTGTCCATTCGTTTGCCGTTGATTTACGGATCAGAAATGTACATACATCATAATTTTTTTTTAACATTCAAAAAAATTGTGGAAATCCAGCTTGCTATTAACCAATAATAATTGCACTCCTGTGATAACATCAAATGTGTTGTCCCCGACCCCGTTCAAAACGCCCTTGTCGCATACAAAAAATATTCTGTTTTATATTATTATACTCTAAAAAACGATATATTTTTCAAATACCGTATAAACCACTTGTAATGTGGGATCACGACTCCCGAGTGAAAAATTGGAGAGATAAATAATTCAAATATATCCGGTGCCCAAACAATCACTCGGACTCGTGAAGGTCATTCGCTAGGGGTGGTGGTGGGTTATGTGCGCCCTTTACTACCGGACGTGACAAGCGTCGTCGGAAATGCACTGACCGGAATCAGTGACAATACCCGGAAGACATGCACGGGTCGACAGGACGGGACGACCGTGAAGTCGCACAAGGTTCAACGATGGATATAATATATCGCGTGTATTTTATAATGTCCGTAAACAATAATATTCGAATCGGAACAAGGATCCTATAAATATAGATAGGGTGATCCTTTGAATAGTGACACTCTTCGTAATTTCTAAATAATATTAACGTTTTAAAATTTTCTTTTTAATATTCAATTTAAGATGAACTGTACTATTTTATTTTATTCTAAATTTACTGCTTTTGTTCAAGAGTTTGTTGATGATTTTGATATAATATAACACGTTTATTGAAATGTGAATATCGAAATCAATATAAAATATTACTGGTGTTAAAAATATAATTTGAAGAACTTGCAATAAGTTGTAAAAATAGTATTTTTTGTCAAAGTCTGACCTTATAAATAC